ATACTATAATTAACCGAGATTGTACTAATTCGACTTCAATTGGACTAATACGAGGTCGATTACACTATAATGACCGAGATTATACTAATTTGACTTCAATTCGGGTAATTCGAGGTCGAATACACTATAATGGACCGAGATTGTACTAATTTGACTTCAAATAGATTAATTCGAGGTCGATTACACTATAATTAACCGAGATTGTACTAATTCGACTTCAATTGGACTAATACGAGGTCGATTACACTATAATTGACCGAGATTGTACTAATTTGACTTCTAATATACTAATTCGAGGTCGATTACACTATAGTTGACCGAGATTGTACTAATTTGATTTCAATTGCACTAATTCGAGTTCGATTACACTATAATAGACCGAGATTGTACTAATTCGATTTCAATTGGACTAATTCGAGGTCTATAATTGATCGAGATTGTACTAATTCGACATCAATTAAACTAATTCGAGGTCGATTACACTATAATTGACCGAGATTGTACTAATTTGACTTCAATCAACTCGGAGTTCAATTGGACTAATTCGAGTTCGATGGAAGTCGAATTAGTACAATCTCGGTCAATTATAGTGTAATCAACCTTGAATTAGTCCAATTGAAGTCGAATTAGTACAATCTCGGTCAATTATAGTGTAATCGAACTCGAATTAGTCCAATTGAAGTCGAATTAGTACAATCTCGCTAAATTATAGTGTAATCGAACTCGAATTAGTCCAATTGAAGTCGAATTAGTACAATCTCGATCAATTATAGTGTGATCAAACTCAAATTAGTCAAATTGAAGTCAAATTAGTACAATCTCGCTAAATTATAGTGTAATCGACCTCGAATTAGTCCAATTGAAGTCAAATTAGTACAATCTCGGTAAATTATAGTGTAATCGACCTCGAATTAGTCCAAATAAAGTCAAATTAGTACAATCTCGATCTATTATAGTGTAATCGAAATCGAATTAGTCCAATTGAAGTCAAATTAGTACAATCTTCGTCAATTATAGTGTAATCGAACTCGAATTAGTCCAATTGAAGTCAAATTAGTCCAATTGAAGTCAAATCAGTACAATCTCGGTCAATTATGGTGTAATCGAACTCGAATTAGTACAATTGAAGTCGAATTTGTACAATCTCGGTCAATTATAGCGTAATCAACCTCGAGTTAGTCCAATTGAAGTCAAATTAGTACAATCTCGGTCAATTATAGTGTAATCGAACTCGAATGAGTCCAATTAAAGTCAAATTAGTCCAATTGAAGTCAAATCAGTACAATCTCGGTCAATTATGGTGTAATCGAACTCGAATTAGTCCAATTGAAGTTGAATTAGTACAATCTCGATCAACTATAGTGTAATCGACCTCGAATTAGTCCAATTGAAGTCGGATTAGTACAATCTCGCTAAATTATAGTGTAATCGACCTCGAATTAGTCCAATTGAAGTCAAATTAGTACAATCTCAGTCAATTATAGTGTAATCGAACTCGAATTAGTCCAATTGAAGTCAAATTAGTCCAATTGAAGTCAAATCAGTACAATCTCGGACAATTATGGTGTAATCGAACTCGAATTAGTCCAATTGAAGTCGAATTTGTACAATCTCGGTCAATTGTAGCGTAATCAACCTCGAGTTAGTCCAATTGAAGTCATATTAGTACAATCTCGGTCAATTATAGTGTAATCGAACTCGAATGAGTCAAATTAAAGTCAAATTAGTCCAATTGAAGTCAAATCAGTCCAATCTCGGTCAATTATGGTGTAATCGGACTCGAATTAGTCCAATTGAAGTCGAATTAGTACAATCTCGGTCAACTATAGTGTAATCGACCTCGAATTAGTCCAATTGAAGTCGGATTAGTACAATCTCGCTAAATTATAGTGTAATCGACCTCGAATTAGTCCAATTGAAGTCAAATTTTTACAATCTCGGTCAATTATAGTGTAATCGAACTCGAATTAGTCCAATTGAAGTCAAATTAGTACAATCTCGATCAATTATAGTGTGATCGAACTCAAATTAGTCAAATTGAAGTCAAATTAGTACAATATGGGTCAATTATAGTGTAATCGAACTCGAATTAGTCCAATTGATATCGAGTTAATACAATCTCGGTCAATTATAGCGTAATCAACCTCGATTTAGTCCAATTGAAGTCAAATTAGTACAATCTCGGTCAATTATAGTGTAATCGAACACGAATGAGTCCAATTGAAGTCAAATCAGTACAATCTCGGTCAATTATGGTGTAATCGAACTCGAATTAGTCCAATTGAAGTCGAATTAGTACAATCTCGGTCAACTATAGTGTAATCGACCTCGAATTAGTCAAATTGAAGTCGGATTAATACAATCTCGCTAAATTATAGTGTAATCGATCTCGAATTAGTCCAATTGAAGTCAAATTAGTACAATCTCGCTAAAATATAGTTTAATCGACCTCGAATTAGTACAATATGGGTCAATTATAGTGTAATCGAACTCGAATTAGTCCAATTGAAGTCGAGTTAGTACAATCTCGGTCAATTATAGCGTAATCAACCTCGATTTAGTCCAATTGAAGTCAAATCAGTACAATCTCGGTCAATTATGGTGTAATCGAACTCGAATTAGTCCAATTGAAGTCGAATTAGTACAATCTGGGTCAACTATAGTGTAATCGACCTCGAATTAGTCCAATTGTTGTCGGATTAATACAATCTCGCTAAATTATAGTGTAATCGACCTCGAATTAGTCCAATTGAAGTCAAATTAGTACAATCTCGGTAAATTATAGTGTAATCGACCTCGAATTAGTCCAATTGAAGTCAAATTAGTACAATTTCGGTCAATTATAGTGTAATCGAACTCGAATTAGTCCAATTGAAGTCAAATTAGTACAATCTCGATCAATTATAGTGTGATCGAGCTCGAATTGGTCCAATTGAAGTCAAATTAGTACAATCTCGGTCTATTATAGTGTAATCGAAATCGAATTAGTCCAATTGAAGTAAAATTAGTACAATCTTGATCAATTATAGTGTGATCGAACTCAAATTAGTCAAATTGAAGTCAAATTAGTACTTTCTGGGTCAATTATAGTGTAATCGAACTCGAATTAGTCCAATTGAAGTCGAATTAGTACAATCTCGGTCAACTATAGTGTAATCGACCTCGAATTAGTCCAATTGAAGTCGGATTAATACAATCTCGCTAAATTATAGTGTAATCGACCTCGAATTAGTCCAATTGAAGTCAAATTAGTACAATCTCGGTAAATTATAGTGTAATCGACCTCGAATTAGTCCAACTGAAGTCAAATTAGTACAATCTCGGTCAATTATAGTGTAATCGAACTCGAATTAGTCCAATTGAAGTCAAATTAGTACAATCTCGATCAATTATAGTGTGATCGAGCTCGAATTAGTCCAATTGAAGTCAAATTAGTACAATCTCGGTCTATTATAGTGTAATCGAAATCGAATTAGTCCAATTGAAGTAAAATTAGTACAATCTTGATCAATTATAGTGTGATCGAACTCAAATTAGTCAAATTAAAGTCAAATTAGTACTATCTGGGTCAATTATAGTGTAATCGAACTCGAATTAGTCCAATTGAAGTCGAATTAGTCCAATTGAAGTCGAATTAGTACAATCTCGGTCAATTATAGTGTAATCGACCTCGAATTAGTCCAAATGAAGTCAAATTAGTACAATCTCGATCTATTATAGTGTAATCGAAATCGAATTAGTCCAATTGAAGTCAAATTAGTACAATCTCGGTCAATTATAGTGTAATCGAACTCGAATTAGTCCAATTGAAGTTAAATCAGTACAATCTCGATCAATTATAGTGTGATCGAACTCGAATTAGTTCAATTGCAGTCAAATTAGTATTCTCGATCTATTATAGTATGATCGAACTCGAATTAATCCAATTGAAGTCAAATTAGTACAATCTCGGTCAATTATAGTACTAATTTGACTTCAATTGGACTAATTCGAGTTCGATTACAGTATAATTGACCGAGATTCTACTAATTTGACTTCAATTGGACTAATTCGAGTTCGATCACACTATAATTGACCGATATTGTACTAATTTGAGTTCGATCACACTATAATTGATCGAGATTGTACTAATTTGACTTCAATTGGACTGATTCGAGTTCGATTACCCTATAATTGACCGAGATTGTGCTAATTTGACTTCAATTGTACTAATTCTGTTTTATCTGTTTTTAATTTTTTTTATTAAAAACGAAATTTTGAAATTCGTGTTATCTGTTTTAAATATATATATTTTTTTAAAATTCGACTTTTTCAAAAAAAAAAAATTAAAATAAAAACTAAACACGAATTGTTAAACTTTTTTTTTAATTTTTTTTAATAAAAAATTAAACACGGATTACGAAAATCCGTTTTTTAATAAAATATTTTTTTTTAAAAACAGATTT